GGCTGGAGTAGGGAGGGAATCAGTGGAAGCAAACAAGGCTAGAAAGCAAGCTGCTGCTTCAGGCTTTACGTGGAGACTTATTAAAGGGCATGTCTTATATTTCTGCCCACTGTAACTGTAAAATTGCATACATCTCTAAGTCTTCTAGATCACTGAACTCTTCCTCTATATATTATTTCAGAATATCTATGTCTAGGCCAGAACTGTCTTGTGGGTACCAGACCATTTATCTGCCTGCCCACCATACATCATTCCTTGGGTGTCAACATGCCCAATACTGAACTTTATATCCTACCCTCGCCCATCTCCGATTCCTCCTTTTGCAACATCTATTCGGATATCCAAATCCAGACACCTGAGGGAGGGGAAGGAAAAGCAACTAGTATTTAGAGTGTATATGTTGCCAGATACATAAAAAGTTCTTTTCATTTAATTCTAACAAGCATATAAATATTAGTTCTACTTTACAAATGAGAAAACTGAAGCTCAAAAAGGCTGAGTAACACACCAAAACATATAAATAACTCAACTAGGATTCAAACCTAGAAATGTGGGAAATGTGTAGGACAGTCTGGAGTCTACAGACAGAGAAACTAATTATGAAGTATGGTAGAAACGCCAATTGCCTACCTCAGGCTCCAGTCCTCCCTCCCTTATAGTAACGACTCCAATTTTTGGCTCAGCACATTCCTGTCCAGCTAAAAGAGATATTTCTCAGCCTCTCTTGCAGACAGTAAGGTCATATGACTAAGTTCTGGATAATACTGAATTACATGGAACTTCCTTAAGAAAGCACAGCCACCTCTTTGTCCATCCTCCATCCTAATGCTTGGATATTAGCTAGAAAGTCAGCAACCATACTAGACCCAGAAATCAAGGGCCACACCCTAGGGATGACAGAGTAAGAAATGGAAAGAGGCTGGGTCCCTAATGGCAGTGAGCCACCATACCAGCCCTGAACTGTCTACATCTGCCTTCTTACACATAAGAAAAAACCATGTTTTAGCTATTGTTTTCACATCTGTTACTCACAGGCAAACCTAATCCTAACTGATAGAACCTTGAAAGTCTTCTAAGAGGAAGGTGGAAGGTTGCAAAAGATATTTTGAAGGAAGAATTGTCAAGATTCAGTGACTGACTCAATCTTAAAAAGAAAATTATCATCAGTCATATGACACACACAAGATTTTTTAATTCCTCCAATGTCTTTATTGGAGAGTTACAGTCACTTTTGGTGTCTGCAGTTTTTTTTTTTAATTGAGATATAATTGACATATAACATATTAGTTTCAGATGAACAACATAAGGATTCAATATATGTAAACATTGTGAAATGATCACCGGAATAAGTCAACATTCATTACCATACAGTTACATTTTTTTCCTTGGGATAAGAACTTTTAAGATCTACTCTTAGCAACTTTCAAATATATCACACAATAGTGTTAACTGTAGTCACCGTCACATCCCCGGACCTATTTATTTTATAACTGGAGGTTTATACCTTTTGACTACCTTCAGCCATTCAGCCACACACACCCCCACCCACGGTGTCTACATTTCTAAGTAATGTAATAAAAATAAGACATCAAAAAGTACTAACCGAACTTCCTAAAAGGAATGAAAAAAAATAAATAAATAAACTCTTTTAGTAAATACAACGTATTTGTAAGGTTGTCAACCCTACCAGTTTAAGGGGTTTTTCTGCCTAAAAATAAGTAAGATAAGAATAACTTACAAACTGTTTACAAGCAATTTATAAGCAGAAGTTTGAAGCATTAAGCTCTGCTAAGAACCTTACTAAGGAAAATAAATACCTACTCCTGCCTTTAAGCTTAACAATTCCCCTTACACTTACTGATTAGCAGTACTAGAACACACCACCATGAGAGCCAGAACCTTCGCACCCTGAGACAATCAAGACCTCAAGAGCTAAGCTAGGAAGTGGAACCCCCTCAGGAAGCAGGACCAAACTAGAGGACTTCCTGAAGTCCCTTCTACCTCTAAGATGCAGAGTCTTCTCCTGGTCCTAGGAAAGGAAGTGAAGTAACAGCCATCTTGCCCCTGTGCTTTTCAGGCCCACAGCACTCAACCATGCCCAGCTCAGTCACAGAAGAAAAACTCTAGAAGTGGCTTCAAGCCCAAGTCATACAGTAGCTCATCTTCCTGAAAGTTTTCTCACTTTAAGAATCTTCCTATTGAATTGGGGGTGCCTCTACCACCCACTGTCACAGAAAGGCCCTGCCCTATCACTCTGGGCACAGGAACCACCATTGCCCCAGGATGTCTCATGGCTCCAAGTGGCAGTTGAGCATTATATACACTCTGATTACAAGTACAGAACACTTTAAAAAACATGAATATGAAAAAGAGACCAAAACAAAATACAGAAAAACTTTACATGCTGTGACACCTCTATACTTAATCACTTTTAAAGGTCTCATTTTACCAAAGCCTGCAAGTGTCACAGGTACTTCTCATATGTTTATAGTCACTAAAAAGGAAAATGGAACAGTTTTCTCCAGCACTAACCATTTCCATTATCTACAAAGTAAAAGACGACACTTACATTGCATTGATAGCAGCAAAGGAAATCACTTATTTTCTTAAGTCTCAACAAAATATCCCAAAGCACACTGGTTGGCAGAATAACAGCCCCCCAAAATATCCACATACTAATCCATGGAACCTGTGATTCTGTTACCTTACACTGTAAAAGGGATTTTGCAGATATGACTAAATTAAGGACCTTGAGATGGGGCAGATTATCCTAAATATCCAGGTGGGCCTGATCTAATCACACAGCTGTGGTCAGAGAGACAAGAGACGCAAGGTTGTTGGCTTTGAAAAGGAGGAAGGGGGCCACAAGCCAAGGAAAGTGGCAGCCTTTAATAAGCTGGAAGAGTCAAGGATACAGATTCTCCCCCAAAATGTTCCAGAAAGGAAGACAGCCTTGCTGACACACTGACTTCAGCCCAGTGAGACCCACTTCAGACTTCTAACATACAGAATTTTAAAATAATAAATCTGTGTTTTTTAAAACCACTAAATTTGTGGTAATTGTTACAGTAGCCATAGAAAACTAATACACTAAACAACTTCTAACAATATGTGAAATGACCTAGAGAAGAAAAGCATAATCAAATTGCCCAAACATTTACAGCATTATGAGCCATGATAGTTATTTGTGCACGTTGCAGTATATTTCACTTGTTTTTCTCTGCCCTCACAAAACTCCAACCACTAAAAAGCCAGCCACAGTGACAATTCTTCAAACTTTTTGTAGAGTGAACCATATTAACTAAAAAAACAGGATAGCAGGATTGACTGGAAAAATTAGGACAAATTATACTGTATTTTTCAGAGTCAAACATCAAAGTGTTTGTACTCTTTATTCCCCTTGTATCAGATACATTTTTATTTATTTTTATTTATTTTTTAAACACCTACAGCACCTGGTCTTCCTAGGTGGTCTCCTATCCAAGTACTAACCAGGCCCTACTCTGCTTAGCTTCCGAGATCAGAGGAGATCGGGCACGTTCAGGGTGACATGGCCGTAGAAATGGATACATTTTTAAAAATAAATCCTAGATATTGCTATTAAGAGCTTACTATTAATATTTAGGTGTGATAATGGTATTGTAGGTCAATGAAAAGAGAATGACTCAATCTTCTACAGATATACAGTATACTCAAATATTTACAAGTGAAATGGTATGCCTATGATCTGCTTTAAAATAATTGGAAGGAGGGATATAAATGGATAAGGGCATTGAGAAAACTAAATTAGCCAGAGTTACTAATTGTTGGAGGTAAGTAATAGGTACATGGGGGTATATTATTCCACTGTTTGAACTTTTCTGTACTTAAAAGGTACAAAAACAAAGTCTTTGACCTATCCCTCATAATACAGACAATATATTTAATAGTTGAATCTCTTTCCTGTAATATTGTCCCACCTCAATTCTGCCACTTAATCCACCTGCAAATGATAGTTTCAACAATAATTTTCCTTTAATCCCCACCTCATTCTGCCCTGTTTACTAACCTTATGAGTTTCAGCGAGTCACCTAACCTCTAAAAGACTGGTTTTTCATCTGCAGAACGGAAATATTTAGATTTGCCCAGTCTATCTCCTGAATGTCTGAGAGGATCATATAAGGTAAAAACTGCAAAGCAGAATAACCATTCTAGAAATCTATAGAGACATAAATTTCATGCTCAGCAGCAACACTTATTCCTACAGATTCACCTCCAGTCCGTCTCTTGAGCACTCATCAGCCCAACCGCCTGGTTCCTCTGTAAGGCCACACTCCTCTCCACCACCTCCACGCCCCTTCTCTCTACACACCTCTCCCTCCAACCTCCCCTTTTCCCTTTCAAGGATCTCACTCTAACTGCCGCCCTAGTCAGTGTATCCCGTGTACTCCTATGCTGGCTCTATTACATTCATCCCATCACTTTCCTACCCCTTTCCGGTATCCGTCTTATCAGCTTTATCACCCCACGGCCCTCCATCCCCACTACTGCCCCTAGTTCACAAACACCTGGACTAACTACCCACCTTCCTTTCACCCTTCATATAAAACGCCATTGCTACTTGCCAGGGGACGTGAGGGGTGGGGGGAAGGGAGAAAAAGGAGTGATTGCTATGGGATAGCTATGGGTTTGCTATGGGTTTCTTTTTTGGGTGACAAAAATGTGGAATTTGACAGTTGGACAACCCTGTGAATTTGCGAAAAGCCACTGAGTTTTACTTTAATTGTACTTTTAAAACTGAATTTTATGGTAGGTGAATTACATCTCAATGAAAATGTATATGTAAAAAAAACAAAAACAAAACTCACTACTGCTCACTCTTATCCATTACACACCCATCTGTCAGACCAACATCGCCCGATCCCCCAAAGCATCGACTTGCTCTTCGGTATCCTTCCGACTCCCGATACCAGACTCGGACAGAGGACCCTCTCACTATCTTGATTAACACACCCCCTTACCCGTCGTCTCTGCGTGCCACAGTACCCTGAAGGTGGGGAGAGCTCAGGCACAGCCTTTCCAGGGTGGTCCCGTCCCCCACTGGCAGGAAGGGACCCTTCTCCGCCTCCTTGGTGGCGCTGCCCCTCAGCTCCCGGCGCTGACCGGGGGAGGGGAAGGGAGGGAGTCCCTTAACTGCTCTGACAAGGAGCTGGGGCCCTAGCGGATCCCCCAGCCCACCTGTCTCGGGCGGCCAGGAGATCTGCTTCCAGCTCACCAACGGACGAGCGGGCGGCAGAGACGGAACAGGAGAAAGCGCGGTCGCTGCCGCAGCCGAGGTGGCGAACGCCGGATCAGGCCTCCATGTTTCCGCGTCTCTGCGGCTCCAGCTCCGACTCCGGCTCGCCTCCCGCTTGGCTCCCGCCCGGGCCGCGTCAGTGCGGAGGCCCGGAGGCGGGGAGAGAAGAGGGAAGCGGCCGAAAACGCAGCTGGGAACTCAACAGCAGGGCGCGCGCCAGCGAGAGGTCACGAGGTACGCAGCGCGCGGGCTCCTGGGAAATGTAGTCCTTCAGGCGTTAGGCATTTCTGCACCTACTTGGCACCTCCAGGGCAACGGCAAAGTCACGTAGCAAAACCAAAAAGGAGTTAGCCTTCTCCGCCCTAGTGTTGAAGTCCTTGCTTACCCCTACACCGCTTATTCTGGTGGCTTTACTTGATTTACGCCCTGTTCATTCCAACCGAATAACCCAAAGTCAAGCAATTCCTTGTAGGACTCTGAAGAATTGGGAAACAGGAAAATCATTTTTTCTTTTTCTTTTTTTCTTTTACCTTTGTTCTTTTCAACGCCTTATATCGAGAGCTAACTTTCAGAAAATAATTTTTGATGGAGGCAGTTAACAGGTATAAAACTGTCTGCAATATTGTCAGAAAGGGCAAGGTCCCGCACGGTGCCAAAAATATGACATTTGAAGTCAAATGAGTTGAGGGTTACCAGATTGACGGCCTTGAACTATTGTAACACTTAGCCAGTTTCCTCATCTAAAATATATACAAGATGATGATATTTCTCATACAGAACTATTGTCAATATCAATAACAATAACAACTCACATTATGAGCTGTTTTATATGTGCTATGTATGTACTGTTATCTTGTTTATTTCTCCCAATAACGCTCTGGGATATTTACATTATACAGTCAATATGTGCCAATGCACTCTGAAAAGCACTACCCAGATCCTAGATACACGTTTCCAGTTTATATTGCCAATAAGTTCCCTGAGCATATATTGCCAGTAAGTTACAGGAAAACATACTAAAACACAAGATAACTAGAAGAAACCTAGTTAAAAAGAGGTGCCCTGGCTAAAGATACATGTTCATATTTCGAGCAGAAACAGTATATATAGTATTATCCAATTTTCATAAATGAATTATATTTACAATACCTATGTATATACACTTGGAAGGGGATAGGGCTAAAAGAATATTGACAGTTATTAACTATGGGGAATGAGATCATGCATGATTAAAATTAGTTTCCCCATGTGTTCTCTAATTCTTCTGTAATGGACATGAATTATGTGTAGAATTTTATTTTAAAATTACAGCAAAAAGAGAATCAGGCACCAAAACCAAAATCAAAGTACTTTATAATTTTGCCTGTACCAAAAATTACACAGTCTACCTACCTCAAAATGACCTAGCAATAATTGTGAGCATCTCTTCAGAAATGGCTTTATAGAGCAAGAAGACACTTATTCTACTTTGATGCAATCCTGTCAGTAAAGTTTAACATCATAAGTCAGAGTAAGATTAGTAATGGTTTTCACAATATATAAAGCATGCATTGGAGTAGCAGTCCTTCAAAAACAATTTATTGTACATCTAATGTGCCAAGTATTATCCTCAGTCACCAATCTTTAATACTGCTGGCACAAGTGTCATCATAACTTTGACTGACTTGACTACTTCAGTGTCTATTTAATGCAAAAACGCCAAGAGGAAAGTCATGAAAGCCCTCCCACTAAGTTAACGGAGTATCCCAGATTGGATCCTAGAACCAAAAAAGGTACTAGTGGGAAAACCGATGAAATCTAAATGAAGTTTAAGGCTATTGTACCAATATTAATTTCCTAGTTTTGACAAATATGCTATGGTTTTATATAGGATATTAACATTAAGGGAAACTGGGTGAAGGATATATGGGAACTCTCTGTACCTTACTACTCTTCTGGAAATCTAAAATTATTTCATGTGGTAGGCAAAATAATAACCCCCCTGCAATGTCCACATCTTAATCCCCCAAAGCTATGCATATGTTAGGTTACGTGGCAAAGGGAAATTAAGATTGCAGATGAAATTACGGTTGCTAACCAGATGGCTTTATAAAAGATTATCCTAAATTATCAGAGCAGATCCAATGTAATCATGAAAGTAAGGAGAGTCATAAATATGTTCTTTCCCTTGAAGATCAAGTGATGCAATGTGAGGATAGGTTTTGCTGTCTGTGAAGATGGCAAGAGACTGGAAATGTGAGTGATGGCCTCTAGAAGCTTGAAAAGGCAAAGAAACAGATTATCCTTTAGAGCCTCCAGATGAGAATACAATCTTATCAGATACTCTGATATTAGCTCAATGAGACCATGTCAGACTTCTCACTTACAGAACTAAAAATACATCTGTGCTGTTTTTAGCCACTAACTTTGTGGTGATTTGTTGTAGCAGCTAGAAAAAAATACGCATTCAAAAATAAAAAGTTTAATTAAAAAGTTTAATTAAAAACTTCCAAATGCCTACCTGTCTTCCCAACACATTTTCCAATCTGGGACTTAAGGATATCCATGCTACTTAGAAAGTAACTATAAACCAGAAAATGCACCAAAAAAGTATACTTCACTTAGAAGGCGTGCAATTTTTACTTTTTGCAACAGCAGATTTATAATCTTCCCAGCTCATTTGGGTTAGACTATTATGAAAATCAAGTATATCCAGAAATACGTTGAGTTACACAGGAAAGCCAATCAAGCAGTGAAATGTCAGGTGAGTCACTGAAAACATTATGGTGTCTCAAAATGCAGTCCTGTGTGATCTTCTTCATCCTCCTCATTACTCAGCAACTTTCCAGAGAGATACCTAAATTTAGTGAGGACATCCATTTGGCTCATTCATTTGTTCAGTGAATATTTACTTAGTTCAGTGAATATTTACATGAGTGCACTGTGCTTCAGACCTGGGCCCAACCTCAAGCAGCTTAAGGTCTAGTGGAGGAAACATGCATTCCACAATACAATCAGAAGTTGGGTTAAATTGCTATGATAGACAAGAATAGCCAACGCAGCCTGATATCTTGCCCCAAGCGAACAGCTTTCCAAGAAATAAATGGTGAAAATTAATCACCTGGTACTAGCAGGACAAGAATTTTCATCAACATCTTAATACTAAAACATATACACATGTGTATATGTAATATATCAAAATACATATATGATATGACCTAATTCTCACAACCTTGTATATAAAGTATTATTGTCTCCATTTTACCCAAATATAATACAAAAGTTTTTTTTCTTTAGTTATTGAAATTTATACACTAGTTACTCAGACCTCCAAGAATTTACCTTCTAATACAAACATCATATAACAGCAAATTTTAAGAATAGATTTTTATGGTCATTTTATGACAATTTAATTATGAAGTTGATTTTCATGGTAAAAGAGAAGTGATGGTGGAGAGATTAGAAGTACAATAGAATTGAACTTTAAGACACTTGGGCCGAAAAGAGTCAGCTGCTATCTGTGGAAGTCAGGAAATCCCAGTTGTAAGGGCAAGCAGTGTGGCTAGAGACCAGACCCACAGAGTGGCAAAAATGTAATGAGAGCCAATTTGCTGGATGGGAAAATCGGGATTTAATTCTTTCAGCTAACTACAATGGTGAACCAAAAAGAGCTGCATGAAATTTCAGAGAGAGAAGTCACTATGTCTGCATTTAGGTTCAAAATTTAGGTTCCTGACACTGCCAAAGTAAGGAATAGTTAATCAAAAAGGAACTGCTAATGGCTCCCAAACCTCACACAAACTAACTTATAACAAAAGAAATTTAAAGATACATTGTAACATCATCTCAAATCAGATCGGTAAACATCAAAAATTTGGTAACATATTTTTGGCAAAGGTGTAGAGAAACAGGCACTCATACGTACTGATGGGCATGCACATAGGCACAATGAAGTTTTGTATTATTTTCTTTAATTGGGTACATATAATAGATGTATAGTATTATCCCCTTTCATTCATAATTTTAGTAATTTGAGTCTTCACATTGTCTTAATCTAGATAGATTTGTCAATTTTGTTGATCTTTTTGAAAAGCCACCTTTTGATTTCAGTGATTCCATTTTTTTAATTCTCTATATTGTTTATATCTGCTCTAATCTTCGCTATTTCCTTCCTCCACTAGCTTTGGGTTTTATTCTTTCTCTATTTACTTAAGTATTTATAGCTACAATTTCCCCCATTAGCACTGCTTTCACTGTGTCCCAATGGTTTTTGTATGTTACATTTTTAGTTTCATTTGTCTCGATATTTTCTAATTTCTCTTGTGATTTCTTTGATACACTAATTTCCACAAATTTGTGAATTTTCCTTTTTTCCTCCTGTTGATTTCTAACTTCCTCCCATTGTGGTGAGAGAAGATAATTTGTATGATACATATCTATCAAATCTATTGAGATTTTAATTTGTGGTTTAACCTATGGTCTATTGTAGAGTCCTACATGCACTTGAAAAGGATATGGATTCTGTTGTTGGATAGCATTGTGCATGTCAGTTAGATTTACTTGGTTTATTGTTTTGTTTAAGCCCTCTATTTCCTTACTTATCTTTTGTCTGGTTGTTCTATCCATTGCTGAAAGTGGGGTATTAAAGTCTCTGACTCTTATTGTAGAACTATTTCTCTCTTTAATTCTGGCAACCTTTACTTCATATATTTTGATGGTCTGTTATTAGATGTAACTATAGAAATTTTGTAATAGTGAAAGAGAAAAAAACCTAATATCTACTGATCTTCAAGGTATTTTCTTTTAAAGATATACCTTTAATTGAAAATAGAACACCCCACAGTGTATGTTACTTTTGTCTTTAAAAAAAGTAAAACACATACACATGTGTGTATTTGCTTGTGCATGCAGAGAATCACTTTGAAAATATAAAGAAACTAGTAACTTTGATTGCCTCCTAGGAGAACTGGGTGCCTGGGAACCAGGCTGGGAGAAATCTTTATCTGTCTGCACTCTTGTACCTTATGAATTTTGTACCTAATAAACATATCAAAAAAAAAGTACATTCAAAAAGTAAATGCAATTAAATTTTAAATGCTGCAGACTGGAAACTAAAGAAAAAAAAAGTAGGGTGTGGTTCAAATTAAAAAGATCCATATTCCATGAATGTAAACTCATAAGTAGGGCAGGCTACTAAAAGAGCTTACCTGTATTCCAGAAAGTTCAGTTTAGT